GCACTGAAATTCTGTCTAAATTCTACTTCAAGTGCTGAAGACCATTTTCTGGATCTGGCCTTTAATTCTTCTAAGTTCATTTTTAACTTTGAAAAGCATACAATAGAAAAGCTATCATTAGATTTGGAATTTCTCTACAGAGCCAGTTGATATTTTAGTCTTTATATGTCTCAGGGTACTGTAACTAGCTTTACTTATTCTAGGGTTAATTGCATTATGTCAGGTGTTAATTAAATTTGACATGATTAGATACTGGTGCTTGGAAAAATTCTGATGTCATTGGTACAGATGTATGCATTCCCTTATCTATCTTGAGAAGCAATGTCAATCTTCTTCTGTATCATTAGGCATTGGGATGGTATTTCAACATTTTTTCATTTGTGAACCCTTAAAATTTTCAAATGAGGTGCAGACCCCTTTGAATTGTAAGCATGGATATTCAAATACTTTTGATTGATCATAGTCATCCTTTGCGGACCCCTTAGACATAGTCTAAATGACATAGTCTTGTGGATCTGATTTTCCCTTTTACTTCTGGTCTACGATCATGACTCTGATGTGGGGAGTTGTTGCTTATTCTTTGTTGACCTGTTTGTCCACATAGGCTAAATAGTGCTTTCTACGTTTGTCCTAGTTTGGAAAAAAAAAAAAGGTTTAATTTTCCTTTATTTTGGTTCCTTTCTTATATTTGCTTAGTTTCTAGCAACTTCTGTTTTGGGGAAGTAAGTTTTTATATGCTCATCAGCATCTGTGAGAGAGAAACAAACACTTCTATTGAATCTTTCTTGATTCCAAGAAAGCCAGGTGCAGCTCTACTGTTAAGCTTACCATACATGTGTTCAGTATTTTTTTCAATTGGGCATCCTATTTTTTTTGCAGGGAAATAATGTGTTAGACTTGTAGGTCTTTGTAAATGTTTGAAATTCTGGACTTGAGAATTGGGTTTGTTATCAGTAATACAAATTTGTGGTTCCATGCCTCACAGATCATGGTTTAATAGGTATGATCACCTTTTGATTGCTTTCTAGTTTTGAAATCCCTATGGATAGAGAGTAAATATAGTTAGGAATATGATATTTTAAACAAGGGTTCCTGGTATTGGTGAGGATTTTATAATTTCTCTTTCTTGATGGATTCAGTTCAAAGAAGTTTTACTGGAAACGAAGAATTTTTCTAAGGTGGTTTCTGTGTCTGGGCATTTTTTGCAACCTTAATTATTCCATTTTCTACTTAATTATTTCATTTCCCTTTTTATCCATATATAAACTAAGCAAGAACAGAGTACTATAACAATTCATATGGTAAAACTTACTCTTTCAGTCCTACTGTGCATTATTAGATTGGTAAAGTCAAAGTTTTCTTTTTGCATTATTGATTCACTCTTTTATCATTGAAAGGTGACAGGTAAAGGGAAAAAATGAGTTTGTGTATGTCTTGTTTTTTTCTGAAAGAAAACATGAAAGACTTCAAACACTTGGTCCTGCTTGGGTTTGGTTTTGTTCTGTTTTTTACAATTTACACATTAAGTCTTATCTTTTCTTTGTTGCTGGAGGGAATACTTTGGAAGACTGAAGAATTGGATGAAAACTTCCTTAGTCCTGAATTAAGAGAGTCAGGAGTTGAAATTTCACAAACAGAACTTTTCTTCTAAGACTCTTTACTAGGAATTCATAAAAACAAACAATCTCTTTATAAGTCTTAAAGATTACAAGTTCTCATTTTTCAATACTACAGGTTTTCTTCTTTTGTCAGTTTTGATTTCAAAGTCCCACTAGTTTCCCAGTCTTAGAGTCCTCCAGCAAAAACAAAAGTAGGCAATTCCTGTTATCTCCAAGGAGGACAAAAACTCAGACTTCAGAATTTTTTTTTTTTCCCCTTCTTCATCCTCAAGGATGGTATTCTCTGTACTCTTATGCTAGAACTGGAGTGGTATCTTTGTTTCTTGTACAGTATAACATTTTTCTTAACAATCTTAATTTACTTTACCATATATAGCAAAGGTAGTACATAGTGTAGAATTTCCCAAAGTCAGTAATTCTCAATGTTTTAAAACTCAAGGCACCCCTTGATAACTTGGAGTTTAGTGGCACCCTGTTAAAAGACTAATTTATTTCTTACAGTGATTACCTTGTACTTTGCAGCAACCTTAAAAGGATCTCACAAAGTGACAGGGTTGGCAGGGCACTCCTGACAATGTGGCATGGGATGGATCGCAGTGCTCAGAGATGGCAGGACTGCTTGGATGGACAGACTGTGGAACTTGGGAATAAGTCATGAGACCCGAAGGAGGCAGCTGTCCCTTAAGGAGGCACATGGGGGTAACAGTGGCTGCTGGTGCAGAGGCTGGTGCCAGGTGAAGGTGGCAGGAATAGGACCTGTCTATGCCCTCCCTTTGAATGCACGCACATTCCCTGAGGCACCTCTCAACAGCTTTTGGAGCATGGGAGTAGGGAGTAAAGGAGCTGGACTGAAAAAGCAAGGCCCCATATCTCTCTGTTCATGGTAGCCACACTGCTCAGAGCACAGGGGCAGTTGGTGCATGGGCTGCACTTTCATCTCAGCTCATTTCCCTACTTCTCCCATGCTTCTGGAGCTGAGAAGCTTAGGCAAGTGCAGGGTTCCTAGTGTTTGGAGAAGCCAGCACATACTTCTCCTTGTAGGAATTGGGCATTATGGCACCCCTCAAAGGATCTCGTGTCACCACTGCCCTAAATGATGCACTTGGCAGACAGGACCCATTCTGTGGGCTAGTGCAGTGGAAGTCAATGGTCTTGCTGCCTTTTGCTTCCTTGAAGACATTATGCACCCTCACTGTGGGCGCATCTACACATGCATTTACATCACACAGGTATCAAATTTGTATCGTGCAGGTATCAAATTTACACCCAATTAGTTACCGTGCAGTAATGCATGTGTAGACACTGTGCATTAACACTGTGTGTGTATGTGTGTGTGTGCACAGACTTGGGACTAACTTTAGTCCCAAGTCAGACCACACACAGTGTTAATGTGTTTTAACACCTATTGGACAGTAAGTCACTGTGTAGTATATTTAATATGACATACATGCATGTATAGATACACCCACAGTGAGGGTCCATGATGTCTTCAAGGAAGGCATGATGCAGGTATCAATTTTATGGCCAAGTCAGCGTAAGTTGCCATAGTTACTGTGCAGTACAGGCATGTACGTGATGATGTGCACCCGTACTCTGCAGTAATTTTAGGTTATTGTGTAGTAAATGTGCATATGTAGGGGCAGTCCCTGCATTTCAGTAATCATAGGACTTAGGATTGTAGTTGGTCCCTGCAGTGATTCTTCAAGAAGCATGCTTTCTTCTCTGCCCATGGTAACCTTTTAAGTGTTGCAGCAATTTTTCTAGGTACTCTATTTTCTTTTCTCATCTTCACTCAGTGTTTTTCCACAATACTCTAAAGCCTGTTAAGAAATCTTACCACTGTCATATGTGAGGTATCAGACGTATAAGATGACCTGCTTCAACTAATACTAGAGAAATTTAGTACTGTTGTAAGAATTCCCTCAATTCAGTTGCTAGCTTAAGTCACATTATAGGCTTAACCAGAAGTGAGATATTTTTTACCTAGCTTTAATGGTCAAAATTGATTGCATAGATATATCAGGAAAAAAGGATTGCAAAGCTTAAAATGCGTATTGCTACTTACAGAGGACACGTGAAATAAATACTCCTGAAATCATAGCTCTTGCCATGCCACTATGCATTGAACAAGACAGTTTGGGTGGGGCATTCACTGGATCCCTCCTCTTGTCTTTCAGGCTTAAAGCTAATCTTCTTATGACTTGTAATTGAGTTTCTTTGGCTTCAACTAAGTGGCAGGGACTTTGCACCTCTATTAAAGTTAATCTAGCAGAAGACACTCTTGCATACTCGCAATGTCTTTGTGCTATCAATGTCAGACACTAATGTTAGAAATATTAAAGCATACATACATTGAAGGTACAGCTTTTCCTTATAGGCAGATGTTAGTGAAATAACTGATATAGTCCCATGTCTCTTTTCTAGGCTTGAGAATGAAGACTTGAGAAAAACACCCTAAATGCAGCTCCTAGCCCTCAGGGTAGAATTAGTGGACAAAGTGTATACCTCTTAATCCTGGGCTTCACAGCAATGCATAGCCTAATCCTATAATCCTTGTTCTTGGATTTCTTAAAATTGCTATCATCATCTGCCCCATATGAACCCTAAGCTTTGGACCCACTTTTAAGTAATTAATTAAACAGTAAGTAATTTAATTAAACACATACAATGTGGTTCTTTTTGTTGCTGCTCTTGCATCAACACTGCAGGTAGCTTTGACCTATCTGGGACTGAGAAGGAAGATAGAAATAAGCATACCTTTGACCTTTCCTCAAAAGTGCTTCCTGGGATAGGAAATCTTTTTTCAAATGGAAGAAACTACAAGTGTTTGAAAACTTTCTTGCTGTGGATACAAGCAGTCAAACACACTGCTTTGTGGCATTAGAATTATAACTTCTGAAACCCTGGAAACATAGACAAATTCTTGATCTAAAGTGATCTCCATCTGGAAAAGTGGAGATTTTCCAATTGAACATTTGTATATAAATTGCAATTTGTAATTTGGTACTGACAGACATTTTAGAATGATTAGACTCAGATAAGGGAGGGAAGTAAAACTATTTTAAATAAGTTGAGTCTTCAATTTAAAAAAAATTGACTAAAAGCAGATGTGCTTTTCTTTGTTCCAAAGTTGTTCCAAAGTTGTATGAACTGTGTGGAATATTTAAGATTTTTGGAGTAGAGGCTGTTTATTTGATTTTTTTTTTTTTGACTTTATAGTCTTAAAGATGTATAAGATACTGGTTTGTAATTTCGGGTCCTGGTGTTACTTTAGAAAAATTATATTATAAGGAATAATATAAACATTGCACCACACATTGGCATTTGCTTCTCATTGTTTCCATCCAGCACTTCATTTTACTTATCCTTGAAACCATCTAGGATGATGTCATCAAGCAGCATCCACCCGAGGAATTTCTGAAACCAGTGTAGGGGGAAGGTGATTGATCTTGAATCTCTGCTTGAGCCAGAAAGACCTATAAAAGGAGCAACAAGTAAAGGTTAGTTTCCCTGGGAAGGGGATGGAGGAGCAACTCTCAGAAGTTGCTATAGTCTACATGGAGGTGTAGAGTTTCAAGAACTGAGTCTGCACCAGCTGGAGGTGAGCAGAGTTGGCAAACACAAAATCACTGGGTGAGCCCCTACAAACTTGATTGGTAGAAGCAGGAAGGGGGGAAGAGAGAGAGCATAGTGATAAAGCTCTCTCAAACTCTGCTATGTGGAGGAGTTGGGGGGAGAGAGAATTCTCTTCCTGAGCCCACTATTGGGTAGAACTACGGGAGGGAAACGTACACTGATGCATGTGAATGTATAATGTTAAAATAAACTGTGTATCTGATAACAATTGATGAGACGGTTGTTGGCAAAACAAACCTGCTGGAGGTAAAAGCAAGGTGAAACATTTATTTTTCATTGGCCATGGGCTAAGAATCTCAGGATGAAGACTGGTTGGGCATGGACAGGGTAGGAGGGAAGGTGGAGCCCTGCAACAACAACCACCAAATTGTACATTGGTTATCGTATGTGAGCCAGTAGCCTTCTCTTTGTGGTATATTAATTTATTTTCTCCCATCAAGGCATGGCAGAAGAGTTCCCAAAGAGGTGGCAACTACATACATACAGAGTGAATAGGGACACCCTTGGGTGACCTGTAACCATCCTATGATAGGCATGGTATGCCACTATCAACTTCTTAGATTTCCTCTGCTCTGTAGAGCTGGCAAGGGTAATAGCCTGGTGAACTTGTGTACCCAAATTATATCTGCTTCTCATATTTTGAACTTCCTCCAGTCTTCTCTGTCTTTCTGAAAGCATTGGGTGCCTGTAGATGTGCGGGAAGGCTGCTCTGTAACTACAGTGTGTTGTAGCAGACTCTATTATTTGAGTCTGCTGGAACATGCTAATTAGTGTGCTCCAGCTGTCTCCGTGTCTCATCTATCAGCATCCCCACACTTCAAAATGGTGGTGGGGGTGCTTTAACTGAAGCTTGTTCAATGAGCACCCCCACCACCATTTTGAAGCACAGGGATGCTGATATATGAGATGCTCCAGGCGCTTTAAGTATAGCAGGTCTTGGAGCCACTTTAATTAAAGTGCGCCCCCCCATCCCTGGACCACATATAAAAATGCACATTGTATTGTTGGAGCTATACTCCTGATTGCCTGATTTCAGATATTTCTCACAAAAAGTTCTCAAGACATCATAGTCTGAAAGATAAGATGACACTGTCTTTTCTACCCGTCTTCAAACTGCTGAACTTTTAAGAGGAAGGTACCTAACTATTGTTGCTTGTTATTCATTACCT